CCGTTGCTGGAGTGCACGCTGCCTCCCAGCAGCTTTCTGCCGCACGCTCCGGTACTGGCTGCCCAGGCTGTGAGAGCAAGAGCGAGCTGGGGTCCAGGGCGGCTCCCCACCCTGTACCACCCGGGCAGCAACCTGGGCCAGAGGAGCAGGGTCCCATCTGAGGGTGGTGTCAGAGGCACGAGCTTGCTGCAACATCGTTCTCCACTCCTGGTTCAGAGGGCTGGGGCGCAGGCCTTCCCTCTGCCTTTGGAGCAGATCAGACTCCCCAACATCTTGTCTCTCTACTAGTCTTCTCTACCAGGAGGCTCCTCGGAGGGAGTAGTAGGTGCTCCGTCCACATTTGTGGAATGAGTGACGACATTCCCTGGGTTGTTCCCTCGTCCGGCAGAGTTCCTGGGTACTTACTGGGCACCAGGCACTGAACTAGCCCTGGGACTATGTGCTCAGGGGGCCCAGGCCTAGTGAGACGGACACCTCCACAGAGCCCCACTGGGAGACGCAGCGTGCGAGTGGAAAAGGCGTGCGAGGCCACAGGGAGACGCAGCGTGCGCGTGGAAAAGGCGTGCGAGGCCACAGGGAGACGCAGTGTGCGCGTGGAAAAGGCGTACGAGGCCATAGGGAGACAGTGTGCGTGTGGAAGAGGTGTGTGAAGCCACAGGGAGACACAGTGTGCGTGTGGAAAAGGCGTGCGAGGCCGACAGGAAGTCGCGCTCATCCTGGAGCCGTCCTCAAGACAAGCAGCCCGAGGATCCGGGGAGCCGAGGTGTGGCCTGTGCACGGGCCCTGAAGCACTCTTTGGGAAACCCCTCGGGGGCGGGGCACACGTTAGCAGGTCAGCCAGCCCAACGGATCTGCTCCTCTCCCACTCCAGCCTCCAGGGCGTCGGGGGGGGAGGTGTGGGTGACCCTGAGGCTGAGCCAGATTGCCCAGGGATTCTGTGAAGGGGCTTCAGAGGCCTGGGGTCGGAGAGACCGGCCCATGCACCCCCTCCTTGTCTCCGCACCTGTCAGCCAGAGCCAGGGCCTCAGGGTCAGTGGGAGGGATCAAGAAGCAGACGGCGGGAGCGGTGAGCTTGTTCCCGGCGCTGTCTGTCAGCTCCCAGCTCTCCCCGTTGTTCTTCTGCAGGGTGTAGCTGTAGCCCCGTGAGAGCAGGCCCTGGGAACAGTGGGCCAAAGTCAGCACAGAGGGACCTGCCTTGGCCGTCTCGCCTCCTGCCCCTAACTCTTGGCCCTGGGGAGACCTTTCACCACAGAGTTGGAGGGGTCAGCACGAAGGGGGCGTGTTAGGCCTGCCCAGCAACCCACCTCCACTTCCCTTCAGGAAACCACCCCTGCCCCTTCCCTGTCCATGGTCCGTGTGGTCTCAGCCCTTCCCCATTCTCAGTCCACTCCATTTCCTGGTGGACACATGACTCAGGCCTGGTCCGTGAGAGACTGGCGTTCCCGGCCACAGTGGTTGGTTTAGGGTGGACATTTGACTCACAGGAGGCCAATGAGAGCCTTTTCTGGGACTGTCGGAATGACCGGGGTTGCTAGAGCCAGGGCAGCTGGGACAGGGATGGTGGGGGTGGGGTGGGGGACACATCTGCCACCAGGACAGAAAGGCTTGGCGGAAAGTGACACCAATGACAGAGAGAGACAAGGTCTCAGAAATGTCACTTGGAGCCCTGGATTCAGCCACGTCACCCCTAAGACTTCGGTGACATGCAAAGAGGCATATCTGGGCCCGGCCTGCCTGGGCGCCTGGGGCGGCTGCCCACCTGATCACCCTCAAAGTCGCAGAGTGCCTCCACGGGGATGGGCTTGAGCGGCGTCTCCCGGCGGTACTTGAGGGGCACCACCTGCTGCCCCCGCTTCTGCAGCCTGCGTACCACATCCTCGTACTTGTCCAGGGCCTTCTCCTGTTCCTGAGGATGCAGGGAGGGGGGTGAGGCTGGCAGCCTTCCCTGGGAGAGGGCCTGCTCAGGGCTGGGGGTGGCTGGGGCAGAGGCCTCGCAGGGCCCGCGGGGTCCCGGCCTGGCTCACGTCCAGCTCCCGCAGCAGCAGCTCGATCTGGTAGCGGTCCTTGAAGTCCGGGCTGTACTTCTGGTCCAGGTCCGAGTCCACTTTGTGCAGCAGCTCCTGCGCATCCTTCACGTCTTTGTGGAACTAGGGAGACCAGGGTTGTCACAGACGGAAAGCCACGAGAGGCACCAGGGCAGCTGGCAGGTGCTCCAGGCTCCCCTGCAGGCGGGGCTGGGCCTCGCCTCACCTCAACCTGCAGCCACCCCGAGCCCCAGGCTCCCCCATTTGCAGACACCCCTGCCCTCCCGGCTGGCTCCCTTCAAGATGCCTCCTTTACGGCAAGTTCTGAGCGCTCCCTGCGCTGTTCCGCGGAGCCAGAACCCTAACTCAGCACCACCTTCACTCTCAGTCTTGGCCTGCGGTGCTGCCCGCTAGGTCCTTCAGCTCGGGACCCTCTGCCAGCAGTGCCCTGAGCACTGGGCCGCAGCCATGAGCCAGCTCTGTGGCCCCCGAGCTCAGCCTGGCTCAGACACAACAGCAGGAGTTACTGTGTCCTCAGCTCACGGGCCCCCAGGTGTCCATGCGTAAGAAACCGCACCGCTCCGTGCAGCACCCACGTTCCCCGGGAAGCCACGTCTGTGAGTGGACAGGTGGACAGAGCACCGTCCATCTTCACAAGGGGGTGTCTTTCAGCCATGAAAGTTAGAGGTCCCGACACAGGCGGACTGTGAAGATGTGACACTCGGAGGGAAGCCAGACGTGAGAGGCCCTGTGTCATATGAGTCCGGGAGGGCCTCACGTCCTTTCCAGATGTGAAATACCCAGAACACCCAAAGCCCTAGGAGGGCAGGCAGGGGCTGCTGGGGCTGGAGGTGGGGGCAGCAGTGGGTGCTGCTGGGGGCGAGCCGGGCGGTGGGAAGTTTCAGAAATCGAGGCACTAGTGCACGGTATTGTGAATTGTACGCTTAGACACGGCACATGCCACGTGACAGCAGTTTACCCAGAGTCCACACACTTGTTCCTGAGCCCCCCACCAGCTGTCCGTCAATCCCTGGGCACCAGCCCTCAGGGGAGACTCGGAGGCCCAGCAAGCTCAGGACATGCCTGGGCCCCGTCGGCCAGTACCTGGTGGTAGTCCTCCATGAACTTCAGGTGGCTCTCCTCACAGATGAGCAGGTTCAGGTACTCCTTCCAGTCTGCGTGCACAGCCTCCATGTGTGCCTGCCGGGACCCAGGGGCAGGTCACCGCTGGCCAGGCCCCAGTGATGCCACGGGAGGAGGGGAAGTGGCACCTGGCCTCTGTGTGGGTGCTCTCGTTTGGGGGATGGGGTATGTCCAGGGGCTCAGGCCATGCCTCACTCGCATAGGCTGCATCTGCCCGGGCAAAGTGCCTTCTACAACCTCTCACAGAGGAACTAGGGGGGTTTGAAAGTGCCCCCCAAATTTGGGTCCACCCAGGACTCAGACCGTGACCTTATTTGGAAACAGGGTCTTGGCAGATACCAGTGGGCAGACCGGCCCGTACCAGGGGCTGCGATCAGCCACACGAGGAGACAGAGCACTGGAGTGTGCCACGGCCCGGGCGTGCCCGACAGCACACCAACAAGGGCCGGGCGCACGTGCAGAGTAGGTGCCGTGCCGGCTGCGTGTGACGTGTCCAGAACAACAGACCCATAGGGACAGCGGGCTAGAGGCTACGGGGGCTGGCGGGCTGGGTGGGGAGAGTGCTGCCGGGTGCAAGTCGGGCGGGCCTAAGTCCAGTGACTGGTGATCTGACAGGAAGAGGGGAGGCCACAGACACACCGGGAGAAGGCCGGGTGAAGATGGAGGCAGAGGTGGGAGTGGTGTGTCTACAAGCCAAGGAACGCCAAGGAACGCCAAGGAACGCCAAGGAACGCCAAGGACCACCGGCAACTGCTAAGGCCGGAGGAGGTGAGGCCTGGAGCCTTGGAGAGAACATGCCCTGCTGGCACCTCGAATTCAGACTTCGGGCCTCAGAACTGAGAGAGAATCCGTGTCTGCTGTTTAAAGACACCAAGTGTGTGGCTTTGATATGGCAGCCCCAGGGAACACCTGCAGCCCTAGCGGGCTTCCGAAGTCAAGGGCGAGGGGCTGTGGCGGAAGGTGAAGGTAGGAGAGGTGGCCAGAGCAGACAGAGCACAATGGGACTGACAGACACAGGTTAGTGCAGAGACCCCATCCAGGGACGCCCCCATCTCCAGGGCTGCCCCAATTCCGGTTGGCCCTTGGGCAGAAGCAGTCCGAAGGCCAGCCTGGAGGAAGCTGGGGGCCCACGTACCTCAATGGAGTTCCTCCCAGGATGATCCGCTGCGAGCAGCTGGTCGCCCTCGCTGTGCAACTTGTTAATTCTCTCCTCTTTGGCCTCCAGGTTCCGGTTGATAAAATTCTGCAACACCGCGGTGAGGGACCTCAGCACCGCCCTGGCAGCACCATGCGCCCTCCGGCCTAGCCCACCTGCCTAGGCCCGGCCCACCTGTCCCGGCCCCGCCCACCTCATATTGGCGCCGGCGACTGGGGTAGTCGAGGTTGCGGTCGCTCCAGTCATACTGTATGCGGCCCTTGGCCTGCTGGTCCAGCCAGTACAGCTCGTTGGTGCAGCGCTGCATGTAGTCCTGCAGCGAACTCAGGTGTTGCTGGCGCGCCTGCGATGCTGCCTGAGTCCGAGCAAGGGAAGAGTTGGGGCCTGGCCTCGCCTCCTCCCGCATCTCCCAGAGGGCGTGGCTCTGGCTGGCACAGGACAAGCTCAGCTTGGTCCCAACCACTTCCTAACTGGGCCTCCAGGATAAGTCACCCAACCCTAGAAAACGCATCTGTTTGTCCAGCAAATGTCTGTTGAGCATCTACTACATGTCTGGCATGGCTCTGGGCGCTGGGTCCCCAGTGAACAAGACACCCAAAGCCCTCACAGAACTGGTATTTTTTTGGAGCCTCGATTTGCCCATCTGTAAGACAGGATACCCCTTGGGCACAGAGCTGGTGCCCAGCAAATGCCAGCAGCTACGGCTGCATCTTATCTTTCTCAGGAGCACTCGAGCACTGGAGGGAAAGTAGCAATCTCCTCACCCTGTGCTTGAGAAGCGGCAAGGTGAGGTGGAGGAAGTAGGAATGTCTGCTCTGAGCTTACTGAAGAAAGCAGAGCCCATCACAGAAAAGGTTGCACCTTGGGCTGGCAGGGACTTCCAGGAGCACAGAGCAAGCTGGGCCACCCCTCTGGAAGGGCCGGGGTGCTTTCTCTTCCCACTCCATTCCCTTCTGTTCTGATCAAAGCATTGGCTGCACACCTGGCTTGTGTGTGTGCGAGCACGTGTGCACAGTGTTATTCCTAGATGGGTCTCGTGGTGTCTCGGGCCTCCTGCCTCAGTCTCTAGAGTAGCTGGGATCAGGCCTGCACCACTGTGCCCAGCCCGGGTGGCTGGGAAATGATGCTGGGCCTTCCACGTGGCCGCAGCCTGTGGCGTCCGACCTACACCACGGCAGCCAGGTGCTGTCCCTGTCCCTGCAACCCCAGGCTTTCCGTCCTCTGTCCTCCCCGAGCACCTGCCCTTCCCCCAGGGTTTCTCACCAGCAGTTTCTGGTACTTGGCCTGGAGTTCACGGTTCTGCTCCTAAGGACAGAGCCAAGGACACGGGTCAGGGCCAGGATACAGGCGTGGCCCACTCTCCCCAGCCCCACATCTGTACCATGTGCCCCACCTTGTCGGCGTCCTTGGCCAGGTGGGCCCCGATGGCCTTGACTTCATTGTGGAAGATGTTGTGCTGCTCCACCTGGTGGTCCACCAGTGGCAGGTCTGTCCCGAAGCTCTGGCCACTCAATGTGTCCTGGACGGGTGGACAGAGAGACAACATGCAGAGGTGGGTGGGCCCCATGGGGCTGCAGGAGGCCCCATCAGCCCCTAAACTGCTGGCGGCATCAACTGTGTTGGCTCAATCTCACGGCAGCGTCAGGGGCCCATGTGGCTGCTGCTCCCACGTCATAGACGGGAAATGCTTGCCCAGGGCTTCTGCCTGAGGGTGAGGGGGTGATGCTCACACCAAGGACACCCAGCTGCAGTGGTCGTGTGCTTCTCTGTGGTAGAGACGGGGCTGGCGAGGGCACAGGAAGGCTGGCAGCGGGCCAGGAGTCTGGCCGCTCCCCTAGCCGGCCCATCCAGCCCTGCTGGGACCCCAGGAAGCCAGGGTCAGAGGGCGAGACCTGGCAACAGCAGTGAGGCATGGCTGGAGGGCAAGGATAAAATCCCCACCGCTACTGTGGGCCCTGAGCTTGGCCCTCAGCTCTCTGAGCCCCATTTTGTCCCCATCAGATGAGACATGGGGAGACACCAGGAGACACTGGGATGGCAGCCCCTCCCTGCAGACTGTGGCACCCCGAGTGGGGGCTCACCCACACATGTGGCCCTGCCTTAAAGCCATGGAGTGGCAGCCCTGCTGCCGGGCCATACCAGCTTCTCGTCCACCAGCGCTGCCCAGTTGACCTGCGGGTCGGCCTCCTTCACTGCCAGGCTGTAGATCTTCCTGTGTTTCCCACGCAGGTTGGTCACGCGCTCCTTCAGCTGACGGATGCTGAGCAGGGAGAGGCCATCTGATTAGTGGGGCTGGCAGGCCTCTCACCCCAGGTCCCGGTCTTTCTGCTCAGCAGCCCGAAGGATGGGGGACTCAGGCTCCAAACCGTCTTTGCATCCTCCCAGTCTCCTCCTGCCCACTTCCCTTCCACCATCGATGTTCCGTACAGGCTTCCTATATGCCCAGAACCACAGCGGGTTCCAGAAGAAACAAGCGGGTGCACAGCTCTCTGTCCAGCAGAGGCCACTGGGTGGTGTGTGCCACAGGGACAGGTGCAGGAGGTCGTGGGCACGGAGACCCTGCCTCTGGTAGGGGGTGGAGTGGGGACATGGGAGGAGCTAAGGGTTCAACCACACGATTTATCCACGTCACACTGAAGCATGCTTGAGCGACACGCCTGGGAAGTTGGGGCTGGGCGTCAGGCAGTGGGAGTTCACACTCCAAGGCCGTGGGGTCGAATGGCCTGGAGGCTCAGGGCACCATGGCTGCACTATAGCCACAGCCTCCCTGAGCCTCAGTTTCCCCATCTGCAAAACGGGCTGGCATGAGGATGCTGTGCAGCTGTGACTGTGTCTGGCATCTAGCTGGCCCCCAAGTAACTGGACTCGGGGTCCTGAGTGCAGAGTGGGCTGTAGACCTCCCGCCCTGGCCCACGGCCCACGGGCCCCACCCTCGGGACTGGAAGTGGGGGATACCTACTCCTCGGCAATCATGTCCCCCTGAGGGTGTCTCATGTGCTTGGCGATGGCTGCGTCTGCCTCTAGCACGTACAGCAGCTTCTCCGAGTCCGACACCTTCTGCAGGGCCACATCCCGGTGCTCGGGCTGCCGGCCCTCCTGCAGCCGGGCCACGTCCTGTGTGGGTCACGAGAGGGGACAGTGGGCAGGGCTCAGAGCGGGCACCATGGTGACGGGAGGGGTGAGGCAGAGGCCAGACAGGGCCTCCCCTGCCTGTCCGTGCAGCCTTCCCTCCAACCACCCACAAACGGGCTGGTCACGGACGGCTGTGAACAGAGCTGCGGTCCTGCCCACCTGGCATCGCCGTGCCATCTGGGAGAGCGCCCAGAAGGCACGTCTGGGCAGCCAGAGGTGACCGTGTGCTCCCACAGGTCGGGGCTTACGAGGAATTGCACCAGAAAAGGAACCAGGGGGCCCACGGTAGCTTCAGGGCCAGGGAGGTCCCTCTGAGGCAGCGACGGGCTGAGAGTGAAGGACAGAAGGGCAGCGTGCTCTGGGCAGAGGGAGCGGCTGGGGGGGGGGCTGAGGCAG